ACGTAGCATATATATATATATATATAATTCATTATCCTGATTTGGCGCCCTGAGGCCCATGCAGGTTTTTATCGGAAGATATTTACTTTCAGTAGTATGACTCAATTTGACCTTTAGAACACTCACACTCAGATTTCATTTGCAGATACACCTCGAGGTCAGCCCTTACGGCTTATAACCTCTTCCGTGCATACCCACCACAGGGAAAAGCGTGAAAAACTCATGGCTATCCGAGTGTGCTTTCATCATCCCACAAGTACGATATCACCACGAGAGAGAGTGGTGTGTGGGTCTGACTGAACTTGAACCAGCTTTCTCCTGTCTCGAATGGGGTAGGTGTTCAAGCTACCCAGTATCTACTTGGGAGAACGGTCCGGATGGTGTACCACTGCACCATCCATTCCAAGACCTAGCATATAAAACTTGATTTGTATTATCATTTTGGGGTTGAGGTTTACCGTGAATTTTGCTACTTGAGTCGCATACCTGACTACTATGAGACACACTCAAGTATCAATCTATCAGGCTCGTTGGCTAGTTCGGAGGTCAAGGGTCGGAACAGGACGGAGTCGGGATGGATGTAGTCGGGACAGGATGTGATCGGAACGGGACGAGGGCGAGACCAGACGGAGGCGGAGTCGGGACGGAGTCGGGACAGGATGTGATCGGAACGGGACGAGGGCGAGACAAGACGGAGACGGAACGGGACGGAGGCGGAACGGGACAGAATCGGGGTATAAGGTAAAGCTTATAATAATCGGATCAATCTGAAGTCTAGAATAATTACAAGACAAAAAGCTACAGAACAAATCCAGTCCTAGATCTTCCTTAAGTACTCAAGAGCGGCTACTACAATCAGGGGTATGGTAGTCTACAGCTATAACACAGCAACTGATTGCTTATGTTGATTAGTAACTGTTGCTATCATAACAGTGTAACCATCGCAACGCATTGACTATGTTACTAGGGAAGTTCCTGACTTGGTTGACCAGAGTAAGCGCAGCATCTCAGCATTAGCCCATGGCACAATGGTAGTGACAAGCAGGCTGTTTTCCTCGTGGAAAAGCCGGTCTGTGACACAATCTAATAACCCACACCAAACCGAAACTACTCACAACCCTGATTATGACCCCATGAATAATTGGAGCAGTAGCCTTCAACATAGCACAATTAGGCTAGACATTGTTGATCAGGACCTAATCCGAACACATGCAATATCTGGGCCCCATCCTGCTTCTCGCAGGAGAGCTGGTACTGGGGTGGTCTTGTACACAGGCAAGAATGCTCGTGCTGCTCGGTTAATTGCTCTTTGCATTTGGCTTATTGCTGAAAGCAGAGTTTTGGGTCCATACCGGGTCTCTGCGCCGTAAAGTAGTGAGGTAAACGCTACACCTTGAATGGTCTGGCGAAGTAGGTCGGGCTGATGTAACGGCTGGTAAGCCGATTGGTCCCTGTAGCCTATGTTGGTTAACTTAGGCCTGATTCGAGTGGCGTTATTAATGGCTACCAATGCGCTAATATGCGACGCCACCCAATACAATACTTTTGCGTCGGCATTTGCATGGTATTCACATGGCATCGGACTCGGCAGTGCGGCACGGCAGTACGGCACTGCACCACATGTTGATAGGTTTACACTGACTGGGAAAATTCGAGACCGAGTACAATCCCTCCGGACCATGACGCAATAGTGCTGTATTACAGGCATATTCAGAACACTAGGGGAGTCCCATAACATAGGAATAGGAGAGGGATTGGCCTCGGTGGCGAGGAGGCTTTCACGTATATAAATGAATAGATAGATGTAGTGGAAGTTCTCTCCTTAGAATTATTATTTACTACCATCAACCACATAGTTGCACCAGCACTTGTCCCTCGAAACCGTGACAGCTGATCTCTTTTGCTGTATTATTAAGCCGCTTTACATGATCCGTTACGACCCGACATCTTTGATAGGCTCTTCGGACGTGTTATTTAAAAGTCAGCTTTCTATCATACACAATGCGCAGGCAACGTGTGAATCCGTTAGTTTGGATTAAGAAATTTTACACGTGGATGGCAGGTTCCATGTACTTTCACTTGTTGTGAAAGTACTGGAGTCCAGTTATCGTGCTCTCAAAAAAGACGCCATTTTTGAAGCCCACTAAAGCGTTTGATTTAGGCTAGATTGTAGCTTCTTTCCACACTCTTCAAGTGTTCGGCCTATTTCTAGTGTCAAGATATCTTCTGCGTAGCCAGAAAGTTTACTTGAGAGGCGCAGAACAGTTTCCATTTAAAGTAGAAATAAAATTGGGGAGGTTGGCGAGCCCTGTGGGAGTCCACTTAAGATGTCGAACGTTTGCGAGATTGTTCCGTGAAGACGTATTTTCGCTGTACGATTGAGTAGAAAAGATCCGGCCATCTTTGTGTCTGTAGTCTTTATAGAAGGCTATTCCTTTATACTTCATCAAAAGCGCCTTTTACATCAACAGTCATAATGCTTAAGACTTTTCCCATAGTTAGTGCATCCTTCACGCCACATAATAGAGCTGTGGCTAGGTCTGTGGCCGATCGTTTACAGATTGTGCTATACTGGTACTTAGCAATAAGATTGTATCTTAAAGCTCAGTAAGAGATTTTTCTTGCGAGTAGACGTTAAAGCCCTTTGCCTAAACAGCTTAGGAGGGATATCGGACGATATACTTTTGGGAGTGTGCGGTCTCGTTTTCTAGACTTCGGCAAGATGACAATCTCTGCCCTTTTATAAATCCGGGGATGACTATCCAGTATGTCGCACTTATTGAATATGTTAGTGATACGGTGCCCTATCGGAGGCCATGAGATTTAAAGTATAAGGGCTGTAATTTCTTCCTCTACAGAAGATGTAGAAGTAATCTGACACATGACCCAGAAGACTTCAGCCTCTGTAAATGCCCGTCACAGAATATTTTTAGCTGCTACGGTTGGCACATCCTCCGGTAAATCTGTCGCTTCCATATGTCCAGAAAGAAGCACTCTGTGCAGAAGTTCAGCCTTTTTTCCGAACATCGGACCTTTTTGTCTACGTTAGGATCTTTCAAGGGATGAGTTTGGTACTTTGGCGCTGTATTATACCACTTTAATACCTTGTAGACATCGGGTAAGTTTTGTAATTGTTCCACTCGTGACTTCCAGAAGTCATTCTTTGCCTATCTAACCGCATTTCGAAGCTCGCGCTTTTCGTTTTCAGAGAGACCTAATCGTCTGGCTTGTCGGTATCCACGCGCAGAGTTCCTACATTCGTCATTCCACCATGGTGTATCCCGTTTTCTTTCTATTTGCGCAGGGGGCAGGCAGCAGGCGGCTAATAGAGCGGCTTGTATTATTTGCACAATTTTTTCCGCTTCTGCATCGGAATTTTTCTCAGTTTGAATATTTGAAGGTTCTGATTTGTGGCCCAAAGTTCTAAGGAAAAGATCTTATTGGTTGTGCTATAGCGCAGTCGTCGGGCACCATCTTGATTAGCTTTATCTCTCAGAGTTATACTTGTTACTAAAGCCTCGTGGTCAAACGTTGTATGAGGATCTAGTGAAATTTTGCATTTAGAGCCAGCATGAAAGCAGAATACGAGGTCTAGAGTTTCGCCTCTTTTATTCGTGGAGACATCCGTAAGGTTGAGAAGAGAGAGATCTTATCCGCCGCCCAGTCAATCAAGGCTGTTGCTTCTTGAGAGTTATAAGTGATAGAAAAGTCCTATAATGGATGTCTTGAATCAAAGTCGCCATCCACAAAGTCTGGAGTACCAGGGGTTTCGAGTATTGATTTCAAGCATTCTCCAGCACCAACGCTGTTCACGGGTGCATTGCAAACGTTCCACTCATCAAATTTTTAGCCGCGATTTCTAGACACAGAGACTTGTGCAAAATCCATAGAAATGTCTATAGTTGTCTGACATTGGTATAGGTCCTGCATTATTCGTCCGTAGCTAATTACCCTAGGGCTTTTCTTCCATACCTAGAGGGGTGCAAAAGTCAAGAAACTTAGATGTGTTATCGAACACTGTTCAGATAGGTCTCTTAAGGTCCATGGCTCTTGAATTAGCAATATGAAGATTTTAACTATGCGCATTTGCACCTATCCCTACGTTTGCTTGCATAGTTTGTTTAAATCTCTTTCTTTTAAGATTTTTTCTTCTCACCATGATAAGTGCATTGTATAGTTCGAGTCAGCCGCTCCTTCTTCAGCATTTGAGCTTTCTGATATTTGATATTTGATGGGCTTTCAGAAATTCATTTCGACCTGCTTTTCGTATCTGTCGGAATTGGGCACAGGACAAGCGAAAAATAGCTCCATTTTTAAGTTGGGGCTCTGCTGGACATGAGATACTCAGAGAATCGTGTGTAACACGCTAGCTAAGGCATTATCTTGGGAGGACACATACCCCTTAGTGCTTTTCTTTTCCGCAAATTTCGCACATGAATTGACGAGCAAATTTTCGAGTCGTGTGAGCCTCGTGACGCTATTCACATGTAGTGACTAGTTTCCTGTCTCAATTAAGTTAAATACCGACTGAATTACCGAATAACTGCAGTCGTGAAGGAAATCTGAGCACTTTGTGTCTAGGAACGTGTATTCTACTATCTCCTGTATGATCTGTTGATTCTATTGATTTTTTCGTCCGTGCAACTTTCCTGATAGGTACTTCATCACAGATTCGGGCAATTACTGGTCCTTCTAGAAGTAGACCATCAAGAGGATCTTTTGTTCCCTCCATGTAGTAATACTTTTCGGAAGAGGTCCAACTATGTAGGTTGTCCAAGATTCATGTCTTTCAACGAAAGTATTTCCATATCTTTGACCAATTATATCTTTGTATTGTATGAGGGTCGCTGCTTTTGCGGGCGTGGGAGCTAGTAGAGTTATACCAGATGGAACTTACCAAGCGTCAGACATCAGAGAGGGGTCGGGGATCAGGCTTTTTAGTTGTTGCGGTAGCAGAAAATTTTCTGCTTTACAAGCTTCATGATCTTGCCCAAGACGAATCATAATTCGTATATCTTCATGACTTTGACCTCTGGGGGGGAGTTCAGAGTTTTTCTATGGGTCCCCAAATAGAGTTTTTTAAAAAAATATTTTCCTATTGCTATTCTTGCAGCCCAGGTGTTTTTATCACTTAACGGAGTCGTGGAAATAGTCTGTGATAAAGCCTCACAATCTGTATTAATTTTCTCACCCCTGATAGCGCGAGTGACCTCATCAGGTATTAGAGCCAGGAAGCCTGCACCAGTTCCAGGGCACTCAAGGTCCACCTCTTCTAGATACGGTCCGACCAGGTTTAAGAGACTTCTTGCCTTTGTCATTATTTTTGAACTTTGTTCCTGTGTATCCTCTTTTTCAGAGTCATTTATCTCGCGAGGGTCTTCCATCGATACTTGCAAGTCAAATGATCTCTTTAGTGAATTACTGCTCAGAAATGGTGGAAATTCTTCAATTACAGGTTCTTGGTCTGATTCGCCCTCGATAACCGTTGTTAGACCTAAGGGTTGTTCAGATGAAGACGCTACAACCTGCGTGTTCTGCACGGCAGAAGATTTTTCCACGGCTCTTTTACCTTTTTCTAATGAGCGATTGAGAGCTTCAGCGAGGGGCTGTGATCGCACAGTATTGTTTGTATGTTTCTGAACCCGCCTCTTGGGGTCCAGATTCACAGGGACGCCACGCTTTTTAGCACGGGCCGGGGGCGCCATATCCTCTATCGGAGAATATGAATAATACAATATAGATGCGTAGTAATTGATGATTTATATTGAATTGAATATTGACTGGAAAATCGTAGCAGTTGTATTTATGTGAGTAGAGGCAAACCTAAGTATAATTAGCTTATTTTATTTATTTATTATTTAACGTCGTGCTAGCTCACAACACAACCTTAAGGTCTCGTGTTGGCCAGTTCAGTCTACATAAACTATCCGACGTGCCGATACCTTTAAATAAGCCCGGCATGTTATAAATGGGTCATGGACTGCCTGCCATGCACCCCGAACTATCGTAAGAAGTCAAAAGTACTCTCCGGCTGAGACTTTTGTATTCTAATACAGTAGAGAAGATAGTTATATATATGAAAGGGAAAATTATCCATCACCTAGACCGGAAGTCTTCTAATCTTAGCTCTATCAAATACAGGCCAAGTGCATATAATTTGGGGTACTAGTTAGTCTTGTTGTTGCATGCTTCAAAAAAGCACGTTTCATGAAGCCATTTACTAAAAGCTATGGCTCCTTCAGGAGAGCCTAGAATCCAGCGAATTCCTATGGTTGGGTGTTTGTTTCCGCTGCAAAGGCGGGACCAACTCCGATTGAGTCGACAAGAGAAGAAGTGCTCGGGAGACTTTTCTAGCCCGCAAGCGCAGATTAGAAGAGCGTCCGAGTGCTGAAAGCGGCGGTGGTAGTCAGCAAAGTCTCCATGGCCTGAGCGAGCTGCAAGAAGGCGACCAAGAGCGTAGCGGTCAAGGCTCTTGAGTTCGGGGGAGCTCCCAATATTGGCGTTAATTCCCAGTTTTTGGTATCGTTCAGGAGCGTTTTGAGACTAGTACAGGGATACAGAGGCTTTGTATCAAGAGATTATGTCTCTCTTTGCTAGAGAGATTGTTGGAGATAGGAGGCGTAGGGGCTGCGCATGCTTGTTTAGCAAGTGTGTCAGCAGCTTCATTGCCCGGTATGCCGACATGTCCTGGACACCATCGCACCCTGACTACACCCGGTTCAGGAAAGTGGCTACGATCGTTCTCTATCCATTTAGTAGCAAGGTATCGAAAGTAAGCGATACGAGAGAAACTGCTAGGGGAAGGAGTATCTGCAAGGAGACGAAGGGCAGCTTCCTGATTATCTAGGCAAACCGTAATATTTGTGGCATATCGAGCCATCGGATTATGGAGGGCGGGACTTAGGCCTTCAGTGGTCCCGGCTATTTCTGCATCGTACACTTCGGCAGATTCTCCGAGGGGAAGGGTCCCCTGCCCAACTATCTGTGTGAGGCCGCGATAGATAACATATCCGGACCCGGCTCTACCCTCTGAAAGGGCACCGTCAGAGAAAACGAATAGATCCAAAAGGGGTTGAGATGCTTGCCATCTCATGAATTCCTTCCGGCCATTTTTTCTGCCTATAGCCCCAATATTTTGCAGAAGTAACTCGCGACTGGTATTCCATGGGGGTAGTACTGTATCAGTTGATAGTTCGGGAGATGTTCTTTGTCGAATCCACAACATTCGGGAGGAAGTCCAGCGCCGCCGTAAAGGGTGAGGTGGGTCTGCTGACGCGACTTGCACTGTAAGGCGATCATGTATCTGTTCTAGCCATGAGCTAGTCGTCCCCCATCTGGTCTCTCGAAGAAGGGCAGGAGTCGGAGTCGTTCGGTAGACAGGAAGGACGGCTCTGGCAGCATCATTAATTCTGCACTGAACACGCCTTATTATATCCTGTGGGGTGCTTTTGGAATACCATGTCTCGGCTCCAAAGAAGAGGATAGCGAAAGCCGTTCCTTGAATAGCTTGCCTAAGAAGGGGAGGGCTGATACCGCGGGTGGTGCACGAGAGTCTTTTAAGATGGCTTGTGATAGCTAGGGACTTTCTACAGGTCTCACTAACATGATATTGGAAGCGTAGACCACGATCGAAGTATACTCCGAGCCAGCGGGTGTAGTTGTTGGACAGTATCTCAGTTTCACCCATGTAGATTGTTGGCTCTACAACATTACCACGTTTCCGGTGAAAGTACTGGAGCTCCGTCTTCGGAGTATAATTAGCTTAGTTATACGGTTGGTGACACGTGAATAGTAATGAGTTAGGGGTATAGGACTAGGAATTATGCAGGCATCCGAGGTAATCTGTGCATGTTTACACAAGAGCAAACTCTTTCTGTTAACAACTGGGTAGTTGGTTGGAAAGCGGCAAATATATTTACTGAAGAACAAATAGGCAGCACTAAAATAAATTTCAAAGATACGCTCTCAAACATCCACCGTAACCTAATCAGGGCCCAGATCAGACACCATTCAGCTAAGAATCGAGCATATCGGGCTCAATTTCTACCTGTGCAGAAGGAAAGTACTCGGAGTAGAAAAGCCAAGCTGTCAATGTGGATAGCCGTCACGAAACGTCAAGCACATGGTATTGGCGTGTCCACACTGGGCAAATGGAAGAGGCGACTTTCCCCGACGAGCTAAAGACAGGTCATATGAAGCAATGATAAATAGCCCAGAAGATGTGGCTAGAATCACACAGTGGATACTAAGCAAGGGATGGATAAAATAGCTTCGACTTGAAGGGGAAGTCGAGGTAGCAACATCAGATGCAAAACCCCGATCTGGAAGGGGAGAGGACGGAATGCACTCTGGCTGAACAGTGTACACTGCAATTCCTGAAGGTAAACTAAACAAGTTGAAAGTAAAATAAACAGACAGGATTAGGGGTTTTTCTACCAAATTGGTTTCCTCCTTTGTAAATAATGAAGATAGTCACTTGCATGAACCCATAATGTGCCTGATCGGGTTAAATGAAATGAAATGCAAAACTAGGTAGTTGGTATGTGTGTGTTTGTGTTTATTGTGCTACTTGAGTCTATGACTATCTAGCACATTGGGCTCCTCTCTGACCCAGGCCACACCTTGTACAGTGCTCCTATCCTCTTTTGTTACTTCAAAGATCATTGATATATTGCCCGTGATGAATAGCCATTCAGCTCAGTATTTACCCGTGGTATTCAGCCACCTTTTCCACGGAACCTTCTACCCAAAAAAAATAAAAATGGTAGCAATGGAAACTGCTTGCGCGGGAAAAAGTCTCAAAAAACCTGCAGCCCCAGCCAGGCAAGGCCTAGACACTGGATCCACATGAGGTGCGCATATTCATCTATATCTCCCTTCTTTGTAACAGTCGAGGCCGTCTTGATTCAATCCACCATCTCCGTATCGGTTGCTGGGTACGCTCCGGAAACTCATCGGATGGCTTTTCCTCCGTGATCAAGGTTTGGTGATGAGTAGAGCTCCGACCCTACCATCTGATCTGATCGTGGTTAGCTTCATGATAATGGTGACAGGGGAATGTGTTGAGAGATGAAGACGATATAGACGGTGAAAGCGATGGGGAATCCTCGTTGAAGTGAGGACTTTGTTACTCAATCTCGGCTCTGCAGACTCTACAGTGAGAGCTGGAGGTTCGTAGGGGACACCGCTGACAGGTGTTGAGAATAGTCCCCCAGGTAGTTGGTATTAATGGTCCATTTACAATACAAGATGGAGCCAACGACGTTTATAACACATACCCAAAAGTCTTAGAAAGCTGATATAATTGGCCCGGCCAATAGATCAGATGATTAAATGATCTGGTGTGTTTTTTAGATATATTTTTTCAACCCTAATTTGCCTCAGTCTCCTGAGAACATCAAAATTACAAAATGTTGTATGCTGGATTATTTAATTCAAGTTAGGGACAATGAATGAACCCCAAGACCGTACCGAGCAAATCGAGATATTAATTATAACAATCATTCCCAATATTGGCTTTCAAAAGCAAGTAACCTTTTGTCTATCTTAAGATTCGACTCATAGCTTGTTGTATTGTTTTTCAAGAATTATTAATTTTCTAGTCATAGAAAGTGTTCCCATTACTTCCTGTGTTGGCTCTTCAAGGAGTTAGAAATTTTCCTTTGAATACTGTCGAAATTTTTAAGCTGGTTCTGAAGCTTTAATGATTGGAACTGGAGGTATCTGAGAGAATAGCCCGTACAGGAGTTTTCAATTGAAGTAGATAAATAGTTGTCATTGTCTGTCTTCCTCTTTCTCTCAGCTTATATATCTACACATATCTACTACCTGACATATAATGATGATATCTAGAAATAGCTTCCTATCAAACTATGGATAGTTTGGAGGCGATTAATGTCAGATATAAAGTTTAAGGAGTTAGGTTTACAAAGCTTGGAGTTACTTGTTTCGAAAAAAGGTGTTTCGCTTGGGCTGTAGTAATAAGAACTCTATCTGTTCTGACTAGAGATGTTTCGTTCCAAACCATGAGAAGCTTGGTCTATGGGGACAAGTTGGGGACACATAGAGCATTTGCCATTTTCTAGACGTACATAATCTAGATAGTATCAGTAAGAGAAATGGCAGCCAGGAATTAATTGACACTTTTTACTTTTACTTCATACATTTTTCAATTGACTCGTAGAGTCTAACACTTCCTTACATCACAAGACACAATCCAAACGTGTTGTAGCCAAGATATAATCCTAAAACGACTCAATACCAGTCCACTAAGTCTATTATAAGAACGCCAAGAATTTTCTGGCTGAAAATTACCCCAAAAGGTCAACCCAATGACGGCTTCAACCCAACGGTACGATATGAAGGTGCAAGGCTAGAGTAACGGTAAAATCTGGTTCGAAATTTGTATATCGGAGTCAATGAGTATATCAAGGGCTCAGGCGCATGGTGGCCGAGGCTGAGGAGGAGTTTACGCAACGGCGTGTATACAGCGGATTTCTGGACGGTCAGGCTTGGTATGATTCAACATATAGGCGAAGTATAAGTTGGGACGAGGTTTATCTGTACTTCACGGTAGTTAGCCTGACCCAGCCCTGTCCTACTCGTGCTTAAGCTTCAGTAGGAGTGCGATGGATGATATTTCTCTAGCACGCAAATGAACAAAACAAAAACCCAAACGCCAAGGTTTTCCCTGAGGCTATCACAAATTATGTCAGGTGCCAGCTTGGCATGCTATTCTGACAATAATGTTAGAAGAATGGAATTAACATGAATCACGAAACAATTAGTTAAGGATACAGATTTCATTGGGTTCTCATCCTAGTCTGACAAATACACTTACAGGATTATTAGTTCAAGTATAGGTCGGAGATTACATTCGTGAATTATTCTGGCTCTAAGAAGCGAAAGGACTGCCTTATATCTTAAGCCTCCTAATTTTTCATATCCTCCTCCTATGATTTTAATAGTATTAGGTATCTTGATACAGTATTATTTATTAGCTTTGTGCATACCTCCTTATTTTCGTATATAGCCTCTCTCATAAATTTTCTTGAAGCTAGTCCTTGAAGTGGCGGAATCTAACCCTTTTGTGTCTAGTAGGAAAAACAAGCCCTTATAGAATAAAGAGTTTGCGATTCTTTCGCACTCTTCCATCCCTAAAAGATAAGTATATCTCGTGATTTTCATGCTTATAAATATCTTTGAATATTCTGGAAACGTATTTTGGTAATGAATAGCCTCCGTATAATACAATCACTCAGTTATTATTTATTGTTATAGATGTGAGACATCGTCTTATACTGAGCCTTCAAGAAAAATATTATCAAAGAGCCGACAACTTTGAAGCCTTCGCCATAGAGACGGAGAAGTGGCTGTTCTTATACATTAAGAAATCAAAACATACATCTAGAACGAAGTTGACATCTTCGTTACAATTGACGTAACCAGGCCCATGGTGTAGTTCATTAATTTGGCCATTTGCGTTGAGATGAAGCTATAGAACTCTAAGACCAAGATCTCTAGGAAGAATGGACTAATAATCCAAATCTTTTAATTCGATGTTTGATCACCCGTGATAAGAATTTTGATAAGTTGACGCTAGGTCTGAAAGTGTTTACCACTTTTCGCCTAAACAGTTCAGTTTTATCTCATGGTTCACTTTCTTTCACTTCTTTACATAATCTGTATTGAAGCTAAAAAATATGTTTTTGTGAGCCGGGTTAATTATATCCCTATTGCCTCTATCTCATGAGAGCCTTTGAGGCAGAATCTCTTGGTCAAGCCATATTGAATCCATTCGCCCAGGGTCTGGCCCGAGGACAATTTTCTGCTCTTGAAATATCTCCATGCTCTCGGTAGATTCGATATTCGTGACTCTTAATTCGTCCTCAAGATTTCAAAAGATACTCAGATGGGCCATAGGGTAAAACGCGCAACTCTCTGGGATGATGTGTTCGAAGCTGCAAATCAAGATTTTCCGGATGAATTTGACAGTGATATTTAGGCAGATTCATGAAGAAAATTGTGGTGGTGCGCGGGAAGATGGACGTATGTTGAAGATGAGGGAGTCGACGATGTTGTTGAGAAGAGAGAGGGATCATGGTGAGAGGAGCTTGTTGCGTGAAGATCGATTATGTTATTAGTCAAATCACCGCTGCTGCTACCATTTTTAGGTGTTTGAGAAAAGTTAATTGCGTTATGATTTTGCATGGCTAATCTTTTGATACTTGAAAATCGATCGACATATGAGGACTTCTTATTTCGAATAGAAATTAGATCAATGCCACTAGTCAACATATTATTCCGCATTTCGTGGTTGTCGGAGCGTTCAGATAGGTTATTGCTCTGTTCCTCCTCTTTCCTCATAAATCCTTTCATCCCTACAATTGGCGCAATAATACCGGTACCTGTTGTGAATAGAGCCACTAGAACCCAGAACCTTGATTGTTCGGTTCCTCCATGAAGGCTCTCTACTGCTAGCATTACCCAAGGGAAAGCCCCTCCTCCGCTTATTGCAGCTGTCAATAATGCTGCTCCACGCTTTGAATTTCTTCCCTGTGGCAGCAAGCCCATCGTGAAAAGAAGTGGAAATATAGGAGCTTCGGAAAAGAATAGAAGAAGAGCTGTTGTCGGTATCGCCGTTGTAGGCCTGTAGTTTAAAGAGCCCTTGTCAGATATCTCCGTGATAGGTAATAGAGCAGAGCACGTTGCGAAGAAGAGCGAAAGAAGGAATGCCGTTAGGAGAAGAAGCCGGGGTGCGATAAAGAGGCAAAGTGGTGCAAAGGTGAATCTACCGAGTGCGAATAGTGAATGCCCAAGGAGATTGTAGTTTGTAAATGACAAGGCGAGAGGTGTTGAAAGTTTTGGTAGGCTAGTCAAGAGAGGCACAAAAAATATTGACAAGGATTCCTGGGCAGAAACGTAGAGGAACTGAGCAATGATGCATAGAAGGAGTGTCTTGGGCATAAATCGGGCACAGAAGGAAGTCAAAGTCGCCATAAACCTATGCCACCAAGTCCGACCTGAGTGTGCGAAATTCTCCGGGGTTATTAATATTGCATCGCTTCCAGCTTGTAATGCCAGTTCATCGTCCGAGATTTCGGGAATAGCCAAATAGTAGAAAAATAGAGCTAAAATTACCGTAAACAGCGTGACAGCTAGGTAGGTCCATTGTAGGTCAATTAAGGAAGTGATATCATCAAACAATACTTTTTCAGCCAAAAGTTGACTTAATATAGTAGCCGTCGCTTGAACACCTTGTGCGATTAGTAAGCGAAACTCGGACATGCTTCGTGGACCGCAGTGGATTATGAAAGGGTTCGCAGCAGTTTCTAGGACGGCAAGTCCAAATCCAACGACAAAGTTAGAAAGTACGAATCCTGGATATGAATTTAGAACAGCAGAGGGCCAAAAGATCAAGGTTCCTGTGCCATAAATGGTAAGACCTGTAATAAAGGTCGCTTTGAACCCCACAAAACGTAGAACAAATTGCCCAACAGTCAGCGCGCCTAGAAAGTATGCACCAAAATATGCCGTGCTGAGACTCAGCGTGTGCGAGATATGGGGCTGAGTCACGGAAGAAATCGCATTGTTCAGTAAGTTCAGAAGCCCGTAAGAAAATCCCCATAGAAAAAAAAGCATGGTGACAAGGCAGCAGTACTTGAAGCTTTCCCAGCCATGGATATTCAACATGGTCTTTGGGTGATTCATATTGACGAAACCATAGTGAGTTGTCGGCTCAGAGTCGCAAATTTGATTCGATTGACTCAAATTTACAGTGCCCGGGCCGAGGTCCATACTGAGAGAAGTCGATTGGAAGATCATAAAGTTAAACTGATCATCTCCATTACGAGGAGGTTCCGTAGTAAATACCGGAGGAGGGCGGTCTACCGTTGAGTCATCCGCTGAAAAAAATGATGGACACGCATCGTCTAGATGCTGAGTAGGAGACGGTATGGAAGAGGTCTTCTCTGACGAAGAAATTTCACCAGCCCCAAGTATCATCGCAGGCAAAACCATTTTGATCAATGGTTTTAGAGTAGGAATGCATGCACAAATAATACCAACATTAACCTCGACAGCAGACCACATAAATGCTGTTCCGGCATTCCAAGCGAAGTCGACAACTGTTCCAAGCCTAGAGGTCTGAAGATTCTGACTATGTCTTGTTTCCTGCAGGTAATATATTCTTACGACGTCCACGATTGTGACAAAAATTCCGAGAGCAAATGTAGCCACCAACACTGACTTTTGCCTTGGTGGTAGCCGCATGCTAGTCAGGACAGGGAGAGGAAGTACGAGGATCGTGAGGTCGGTGAAGATGTTGACAGGAGCTGAGCAGAGGTATAGAGTGACGATAGAATTACACGACTCGGCAGTGCGGACAAAATTGAAAGCAGCATTGGGCGGATCGCATTGGAAGGCATTGAGAAATGTAAGAATTACGCCAGAGATGTTGACGAGGGCGAGAGTAACATAAGATGCTACGCGCAACAGTTTCTGAGTATTCTTTGCCATGCGTAAATATAGTATGAGAATCGAGGTCTTAGTTGCCATTAATGCTGGGTTCTGTATAGTCAGCTTGGCCGTAGCTAGAGAGAATATCTGACGTACGTAGAGGATGGTAAAAGCGTACTCGCTTCGTCGCAATAATGGCAACCATTCGGTGGGTTCATGAGCTTCATGTTGACCCAGTTCTTCACTATTCCCATATATGACCGAGATACTTAAGCCAAGAGCAAGAGCCTAGAGTAAATTTGTCAGTATCCTAATTTCTACTTTCCCTTGACTTTAATTTGGATAAAATGAAATGGAGATTCTTACCCAAGCTAAAATTATAAACCAGTCGTCCGCTGTGCGTGTCCTAAGTATACCCAAGCGACTTACAAGCCTGGCGAAGACGAATATGGTAGTTAACACGATTGTTGTTAAGGTCACAATAACCACTGACTGGCCGCGTGAGGTACTTTCGTAGGTGATGGCCATGTCGCCTACGCCATGGAGGAGTGATAGATTGAACAGAGTATTAAGTATAGGCCGATGATAATGTGGGCGTACGTTGTGGTATCATATCTGTAAAAGTTACTTGCACAACAAACAAGTAAAAATGCACGAAACTTGCATCGCCTTAAACCTATGCTAACTTGCTTTCTCCCCGTAATACCCTACGAGACTTAGATCGTAGGGGTTCTGGGCCGACTTGACGTTGCCACTTGCGCCCAGACCCTCATTCGTTGCTGTCCCTAATTGGAGAAATATATGAACAACGAGCACTTTACGGCTCTTTAGAAAGTGAAGAGAGCGATCCTGCCCACAAGGCTGGACATGGAGATTTGGAGAAACGGCTGCAACTGCCATGATGCCGTAATACGACTTCGCCGATCGTAGAATTCGACCGACAACATGAAGGTGTAGATAGCAATAATCTAGCAAAAGCCGGGATAGGAACGGCAGAGCTAGGCCCGATATAATATTGTGTGGTTGAACCTTACGTAAATAGATCAGGCAGGGATTATGGCCCAAGGATGATAGAGTAAGTTGGCTGCAGTTTCACGAATTAGTGCATCATAATGTATAAAATCCAGTGGACTAGATACACAAGTTGGTCAACAGCAAACGATGGTGTAGATTAGGAGACTACGGGTTCATGAATTGAACTGGTCCTTCACGCTGGCTGTGTGCGATATTAGGCAAGATACAATTATCATAGAAGGCTCATCGCCCTTTGGAACAGTTATTTTACAACATCAAAATTTCGTATGTAGACGGCTGCAGTGGGCGCACGTCCCCATCACGGATGTACCTGTTTTGCTCGGAGATATGTTAGGGCTAAGTCGTTTCTATTTGTGGGCATTGTATAAACCTTGATGCGGAGCCCTGCGTGTCAATTGTGGTGAAATAGGATGGCACGACACTAAGACGATAGAGTGATCGGTGCATTACCACTAGTTTAGCGCCATTCTCTACGATGCATTGGCGAGGTCAACCAGCGAACGAACAGAGAGGGGAAACTCCAGGGCTCTTTTCGTCATGCCGACTTTTTCTTGAAGAACTGCAATACGGTCATTTGAGGGCGATTACAAGTCTGCTAACCCTTTTCCTTTGTGCGAAGCTTTTGGCCAATCGTTCTCGCCGTGAATCTGTATTAAAACTCATTACATTATTCTCAAAGAAACGGCTAAATGCCAATTAACAACTATTTCATACCAAGTCATATTTCTAAATAGCAAATATATATTCTAGATCACCGATAGGGTAAGTTCCAAGACTGGATGGTAGGCCATAACGACATGGAACCCGCCAACATAAATGTGTGATAGTGGCCTACATTCTATAAATTTCCAGAACTATCTCCAATAGTTGTACAGTGATAGATATTTGCAGGATTTAACCATCGCGAACCGGGTAATCCTCAAAACCTTGCAAGATAGAAAGCAAACAAGTACCTGCGCCAGCTAAAGTACCAGGAGAGCGTTTCAGCCCATTTTGATCCATAATTAGAAATTATTCAGTCACTAAAGTTTCTAGGACATGACCATGAACATAAATGGGGAAGTCTGACTTTCATGAATTTTGGAAACTACCGCTAGCTCAGAATATAAACATACCCATTGTTAGTCCTTCAAGGACATAGAATGAATAGAGACTATAATTTGTAGCATAGAGACGATAATTATTGGATTTTTCTACATGAGAATCTTTAGGCGCGTTAAGTCTTCAGCTGTACAACCCGAAACACTCGATTTACTCCAGTAGTTTTTTAAAAATTATTTACCTTGAATTTAAATATATATGTATGATGCCATCAGTGTATTTTGCATAATTAGATGATCACTTGACTGCAGAGACACTCTAGGCCGCATTCGCACATAGTCCTCGAGCGCCCTATCCATACCTGAATATTAAAATATGAAGTATAATTCACTCTTTAAGTCTACAAATCAATTAAATATGAAAGATTCCCGACCTATGGCCTTTCTAGACAAAACTAGTTGTGGTTAAGGGCTCTTTCAGCTTCATCGAGACAACCAAATATCGAAAGCTATCCAGTAACCATGAAATCGGTAAGAGCTAAACATCTGAGATGATTCCAAGCTCAATTTTTTTCTCATACGGATACGCAGAGTTCCTGACGCATTTTCGTCCTGCTAGATAATTATCTTGAAGTTTCGCTCTTCAGACATACATCTTGCGTACAATTAGATCGTTAATTACCCAATAAATGAGAAAATCTGGAGATTTCAGCGACAAATGGTCGTGGCACAAAATGTGACATTGTGCGACTTACATGTACCACTAGATAAGAGAAACAGCAATACATCAATTTGCGACTAAGTAGCAACTAGGAACGCTCATCTAAGAATCTGTGACAACCAACGTTTACTCGAGCACAAACAAAAACTTATTTGATCTTTACAATTATAGATTCTATGTACACACCGTTCTATCAAATACCTAGATTTCCAACTCTGAATCACAAGCAAGTGCCGCTGTATCAGAATAATTATGGTCATGATGATCCACTCACGGCACAATTGTACTACTCAGGGTGTGGCAACATAACAACAAGCTACTACAGATGATCAAGCGACACATGCAAGTTATAAAGAGCTGTGATTCAGATCTCAAACTCCAACAGATCTTTCCTAAATTATTCCAATACTCGTCGCTCTGAAGTTAACATCTTGAGTGTATTTTGAGGCCCTGGATCTGATGACACCAACCGCGACAACAGCAGACGCTTTAGCTGCTTTGGCAAAGTATTAGGATTCGCAGTTATGAGTCCAAGGGCAGCATCTCTCTTACAACACGACTGAAATAATAATATATATCAAACACGCCTCGTTATCGTCTCGCCGCTTTGAGATACAAATCCATAGTTTCATGGTTCATGTATGCGGACACAATGGGAGGATGTAATGTAGCTACAGGCATGTTACTGGCAGCAAATCTGCGGAGGGATCGGTCAGCATATATTCCTGGAAGTATATTAAACAACCAATTCTTAGATGGTCGGCCTCATTCTGACAGTGTAAGGTCTGGGCGCAAATAGTGTTGTAGGTATGGTCGCATAGTCAAGAATTTTGGAGCTTCTTCATTGGCCACGATTGACGCGGGCAAGCGGAGACAGTGCTATCGGTAAGTTCAACCCACTACACAGAATAGCCATAAGTGTATTAATTATCTTTCACACCAATTGGGAAAGGAAAGACATTGTCGTCATCTAGGCCATACCAGATGGCTTTAAGCTAACAGTAGGCTTTTTGCTGATATATTTCGTATGCAGCTGTAGCCACAACAATTCATCAATATTTAGTACGTAATTTAAATCTCTTTTCTGAGATAAAACACGCGTGTAGCTAGGAGTCTATTTCCCCATATAATACAGTTCCGCCAAGTGACAGGATATTGATAGTTCGTAATAAAGAAACTTCGGGAGTAGTAAATACATGTTACAGCATCTGCTCAACTAATTTACGCACGAATTGGCCGCATGTGTGAAGTTTTTTTTCCAGAATATTCATTTCTGAATGCATGCCCACATACGGTTATGGGTTCTGATTGCCCCAGAAATTGATTTTCATAACGTACCCGAAATTCCAATTTCCAAATGATTAATTTGAGAGGCAGGAGAAATTGTGATGCAGCTGAGGCAGCTGTGGGAGTCAGACAAATAGTGGATCATATCTAGGAATAAGCAGAACTAAGCATGCGACGATGCAAATCGTAAGTAGGCTAGTATTGCGAATCGAAATAGGAGGTGATATTATTTTTATAGCCATGTTGGTTACAATATCAGGAGGAAATGAAGTAGACTTTTGGCCACGGTCGATGATTGTCTATGCATCTATCGGTTCTCTCCCCCTACGCCTTGGGTAATTGATGGATGTTGCGGCTGCTAAGCTCCAGAATACGTACGAGCCCAGCCCCTTCCTCGTTGATCAACTGGCCTCAGACGAGTATTTCATGGACGCAAGTAAAATAAATCCATTTACTAGTGGGTTCGGGAGGGGAGGAGGTCAGGGGCATTGGCGGCTACGAATAGGATCTGCACTAAACAAAGCTTTATAGTGGGATGGGTCGAAGCTGGCATGGATGTATTGGAAAGAAAACATAACCAGCTTATTACTAATTTGTAGGGTTAGGCCTAGATAATACAGGCCTTCGGTACAGTTATATTCATTTATATTTAAAGGGCACTCATTTTGTAAAGCTCATTGGCTTCTACTTGGATCGAAATACTTCGCTGCTTTTCTCAGGCAAATGAAGTTGTTGGCCAGCCAGGCGTCTTAGCCCTGACAATGCCGAAGGACGTGCCTGTTCCTCATCCCCTGATTGGCTTCGCATGCCAGCAGATACTGAGCCCTCCAGATGTATATTTGATAGCTTGCACATCCAGTGCGCCGTGAACTAATGATGCATAGCTCAGCGTCCGTGAATCCCACTGCGTGAACTAGCAGGGCCCGTCGGCCAGCCATGGAATGATCTCTAGCAGCCCCGGGCCGACCGTTACTTCAATGGCCCTGGCAACCAAGGCACCCTTGCCCTTGCACAGCGGGAGATCGCTCTTTTTGTCTTCAGCTGGATCCCAACTGTCGCGCGGCCAATTAGTAATATCATGATGCAGCCTTATTAGAAAACACGAGGCGTCTGGCCTTACCATTCCCAACTTACACGATAGTCGGAAATTGGAAATTCCTCGCTGAAAAAATTGGCTGGACGACAAATGATTTTGGTTGTTAATCAACTGGCATTGATGATACGGTCCCAACGAACTATGCTCAGTTCCAAAATAAGCTAAGAACTTTATTGTTGCCCCTTCTGAGTCTAAGACTATAAAGGATAGCCCAGCTCCAGGAGGCGTAATTTGTGCCCAAAAGTCCAATCTTGCAAAAATCAAGTTTCAACACCTGTCAGCTGATACTCTACGAACTTATTAGTGATACATCATACTAGCACTGAGTCCAGGCAAAAATCGCAATACC